AAAAAAAAAAAATGAAAAAAAATCTAATGATCAGAGAACAGAATGGGGACCATGCTCTACAAGAAGTAGGTCCAATGCACATTCTTAATATGCAGACCACAGCTCAGAATTGTGTCTATAGCACTTGCATTTTCACACACTGAACAGATAGTTCTAGGCTATGGTTAAATGGCTCCAAATACAGGCTAATAAGCCACACACACACACAAATCTCCTAAAATTTAAACATTAACTTAATAGACACATAGCTTCCAATTAAAAGTGTTTCCATCAGAAAATATATTTTGTAATAATGCAGAAGAGACCTTAAGGGCAACAACAACAAAAAAATGTCAGCATGCCATAAATAATTCTGAAAGAGAAGATTACTGTGAAACCCTTTAGGTGTTGCTCAACAAGCCAATTAGCTATTTGTTGACTACAGTGGTACATATTGGATTATTGTTGTAAATTAAAGGGAGATTTTAAAATGTTTTTCCAGCTTTCATTTTAATGTAATAATTTACTATGTATGTGATGTGAAAAGTTAGTATTTGATAAGTATGGATGGCAGCTCATACCTTAAATTCCTCCAAGATTTTGTAATTTTTCCCATGATATTCACAAAAGTTTTTCACTTCTTTGCATTCAGGACAGCATCCATTGTGTTCCACTTTAGTACACTTCGGGTGAATTTTAGGGCATTCTGGCTGGTCGCAAACAGGTCCATCCAGGGCACAGACACATGGGCAGTTGGAATGCCCTGGGAAAAACCGTTCGCCCAACTTGTATACAAAGCCGCTGTCATCCACACAGCCTTTCCCGCGATAGTCGTCAAAGATCAGATTGTCATTACTGGAGGTCTGGTCACCTTCATCAGCAGGATAGTCTTCATGACTGATGGCAGCAGAGGTGACCAATCCAGGGATGACCAACAGAAGTATGCAAGCTTCATGAATATGAAGAGCCATCCCCCTCCTCAAAGGCTTCTGGGTGTGCTCCTAATACTGAGTATACTCAGCTCCTTCCATGGGGAGGGGTAGGCTGAAAATAAATATTTTTAAGAAACAATTTGACATATGTAAAGAAAATATGGATTTATTTAAGCCTATGCTCTTAACCTGTTTATTTGGGATCTGTTTGGAAGATAGACCTCATATAGACCAAGTTCATGCAACCTTCTACACTTTACTATGAAGTCTGGAGAGTTGATCCTTGACAATTTTTATGGAGCTATTTCACATAGGAACCTCCAGCTTGAATTTACCTTCTGATTTTCAAAGGTCTGTCTGGATTTGCCTACACTATAAGAAATGACTTTACTGAACCCCAAAGGGTGATTTTTACCAGTGGTTACTTACAAATAACTCAGAATAATTGAATTCACAGTTTCTATTATTCTTTAAACTGTTCCAGTTGGTGATAGAATGTATATGTGTTATAATCATCTGTACAAACACTCAAGAGATTAGTGAGAAAATTTCTGCTTCCAAGAGAAAGGGAAAGAATCAACAACTGAATGTAAATTATAACTGGAATGGAGTTAGGATAAAGGCCTCTCTGCTTCTTTATGTCCCAGATTGGAGAAAAACTGGTTTCAATATAGGTTCCTTGTTTCAGTCATCGTAAATCTGGATTTTGAAACATAGCTAAGAAGGAAAATAGCATGACTAGTCTACAGTGAACAAAATTTAAAACAATAAATGATACAAGAGAACTCCCTGTATGTGAAAGAACCTGTTAAAAATAAATGAATTTATATTATTGTCCACACCTTTATTTTACTCAGAGAGTAAGCTCCTAGTGGACAGGAAAAATATATCAGAGCATTTCTTACAGCAACTTGAATCTAGATTCATGTAATACTATTTAAATGAATTACTTCAGTATATAATAAAATATATAATAAATATCATTCAACAGTCTTAAAAACATAACCCTCTTTTGACATGCCCGAGATGTTTTGCACAAAAATGCCACAGTAAAACTATTTATTGGTTTCATAGAATAGTAATGAGGTGTTGCCATTCAAAGAAAACATGCCTTATAGTTTGGTGACATTGACTTGGAAATTTCACTTAGTATTAGAGCTTGTGTGGAGTGTTGCCCACTAGCAACACTCATTTAAATGTTTAGAGTGAGTAATTCATATGTAGACTCTGGGGAAACTGACTTTTAGGAGTAATAGATAAAGTGAAGTGTTGTCAAATAGTCCATTTGTCTATTTAAATGCTTTTGGCTTTATGCCAAATATCACTAAAATTGTATACAGGACACTTTTAGATCATTAATAAATACTATCTATTGGTTTATTTTCAGATTATAATAAGAGCAATGATAAACCATCTCTTTTCAGTCTAACATACAGATGATACTTTTAAATAAGGTAAAGATGGCATTAGGAAACTTCATGAACTATAATATTTGCATTTGAAGTTAGATATGCAAATTCTAGTAATAGTGAAATAGACGGTAGTATGTTCATACCCTCCGTTAAAGGGAAAACTGCTCTGATGTTAGAATTCCTTTTGGGTAGCTAATGATAAATGAGGTGAATTTCTTTTGAAATATGTCAAAAATAATGAGTCATGACAGAACAAAAAATATGCAAACCTGTAATTCTACTTGAGAATCTGGAAGCTCCCTTTGACAAAGCATTTTTTTCCCTCTTAAATTACTACAAAGGCTACAAACATTACAGAAGCTTCTGAAAAAGGATATATATATTTCACTAATTAAGGCATGCATTTTATACAGCTCTCACATATTTAGAAAGTTTATTTTGGAAGAAGAAAAATCTATTGTGCTCTCTTAAGGTATTCCAGCAATACCTGTCAATACATGCAAAATAAGCCACATAAAATACCCATATCATTCTGCTTCAAAAAGACATAGACAGAAATGATCTCTATGCAAGCTACAGGTAGGCATTAAAGTCACATTATGGTAAATGTAAACTTAAAGGTAAAAGGGGTGTAATATCCACTTTATATAAACATTACATATGCTTGTATTATATGAAATACCTTTTAAAATCTGCATGAAGAAAACATGGTTTTCTTTTTAATATAACAAAGTTCTTAAGCTATTTAAAAAAAAATCCTCTTCATAACTGAGCTGCTCTAGTGCAGCTTAAGACACTAATTAAGAGAAAAAAAAAACATTAGAGAAAGCCAATAAAATGTTTATCTGAGGATTTTTAATAAGTAAGCAAACACCGCTGAATGGAAGATCACTTTCCAGCTAAACTTTCCCCCCCACTCCCCACATTGCTACGTGTCATTTAAAACGACTGCATCTATTTCTTTGAGAAAACCAGGATAACTCATGTCATAAGATACACTTACCTAATCCCTCTGGAGGTTAATGGTGGTGATGGGGGTCATAGACCGATATGAACTAAAAGATCAGGTATGTTTTAGGAAAGCAGTTCCTCTTTAATTATCCAAAGAATGCATTTTCAGGCTTGAATGAAAGGCAATCCATTCTCTCTACCCCTCATTTCAAACCACAGTCAAGAAGCAGTCTCCCGCCCTTCCAGAGAGAAATACAGCAGACACACATAAGAAATACGCTTTGGACCTGTCTTCAGAATTCAAAGCAAGAAGCAAGGCTGGTCTTGTAGAAATCCAGACCCCAGGAGCAGAATCATGTTGAACTTATTTTTAGCATTTCCTCAGATCCTTCTATGAAATTTCCCGGCTGATTACGCCTCCTCCACACATGAGTTCACTTGCACAGCGTTGGCTACGGCAGCAGAGGTGATTTGGCTAGGCTCTGTGGATCACACACAGCAACAGCATGCTGTAGCTCAAAGCCCGCTCCGCCGGCAGCAACATCAGCATCATCCACCATGTGTTGCTCGGATCCCCTCTCACACGCCAGAAAAGGCTAAGTGTGGACGCGAAGGAAAGGAGCAACTTTAGCTGGGCTTCTGCATCACTGGGAGCAGTTTGCAGGCGGCTGATTCGGAGCCCGTTCCGCCGGCAGCCGGGATTCCTCA